GGGGACGGAGGCAGGCCTGGCAGTTCTGCAGATCCTTGTGGCCTCAGTCACTTGGGGACCAGGAAAGGCTGGGCTGGCCCTGGGGCCCCAGCCACACACCTCGGGGCTTCACAGGTACCCACTCAGTCCACTGCTTCAGGGTGGTGGCCTCCGGTCCCTCCCAGCTCCAATGACAAGGGCGGGAGAGGTGCTGGGCCCTGCCCAGCCTGGACAGAGGCCTGAGGACATCAGGACGGCGTGTGGTTCAGGGAGGAGGGCTTCTACCATCTTGTTTTATTTTGCGGGGACTGAGCCTAAAGCAACCAGAAAGAACAAGAGTCAAAGGGGACCCCCCTACCGCTCGGGGCCCAAGCACTGACTTTTACTAAAAAAAGTGTCTGAGGCCCCGGGGGGGCTGGTGCAATCTGACATAGAAGGGAAACTCTGGGAGAAGTTTGTTTTTCTTCCGGCAACCTTTCTCTCCCTTCCAATAGAGACATTTGTTTTTTCCCTGCAACCGGTGTCAGAAAATAGCTTCTGACCAGCTGGGGAGAAACATTCCCAAGCTTGGGAGGGGCGGGTTTGGCAGCCCTGAGCCGGTGTTCAAGGGTCAAAGCACTGCGCTCATCCAGGCCCCGGCCACTGGGGCCCACTGGCCATCCCAGGGTAGGCCTAGGAAGATGGGCCTCAAAGACAACCTGGCCGGTCTTGGGGTGGCCACTTCTAGAGGCTGTGTGGCCTCTCTGGCTCAGTCTGTTTACCTGTGAGAGGGCCCAGGACCGCGAAACCCCTAACTTGCCTCTAAGGCCCTGTCCAACCCTACAATGGCATGATTCTGGGATGCTGACTCCACAAAGAGGACAGAATACTGTCCTGTCCATCTTTCTGGACAGCTACGAGGTTTAAAATGACCTGATGTGGGGGCGCCTGGGTGGCTCAGTCGGTTAAGCGTCCGACTTTGGCTCAGGTCAAGATCTCGCGGTTCGTGGGTTCGAGCCCCCCATCGGGCTCTGTGCTGACAGCTCGGAGCCTGGAGCCTGCTTGGGATTCTGTGTCTCCCTCCCTTTCTCCCCCTCCCCAGCTCGCGCTCTGTCTCTCTCTGTCTCTCAAAAATGAATAAACGCTAAAAAACATTTTTCTTTAAATAAAAAATAAAATTAGCTGATGTGGAAAGGCGGTGTTTACAGTAAAGGACTGAGCAAGTGAACGTGTTAATAACTGCCCAGGGATGAAACCAACCAGAACCGGCCGACCCTTTCCACCTTTGGAAACCCACTTTGTAAACAAGTCCCAGTGCACAGTGTGCTCTAATGGCACAGGGCGGTGATTCTCCACCTGGTCCCCTAAAGGACCTTGACGGCCATTGCCCCGAAGAGGGTCTGAAGTCGGCCTAGCTTCCCTTACCCACACCTTACCCACAGAGCTGCCTGATGGTGGGCCCCTGCCTTCCCTGCTCTGGCCTCACGTATGGCAGGTGGAGGGGGTCCCGGAGGAAAACTGCCTGATTTCAGATAAACCCAGATGCTGGACTAGACCCCACACGGGAGCTGGGCCCCGAATTCGTTCTAATTGCACGCGACAGGGTTACCCAGGCTCAGCTGCAGACTCCTTCCCTGGGTACAGGCGTCAGCTACTTGCTTGCATGGAAGGAAACATCGGCAGCAGCTTTCACACGAACTGGATTTGGAGGGAGAAAGAGGAACCACCCACAGCCCGTAAAGGAGGAGGCCCATTCGGTGACCAAGAGCCCAGGTCAGAAACGACATTCCCAGAGGAAGGGCTAATAAAGCAAAAATGTGTTTATTAGGCACCCTTGCTCCTCACAGAGGAGCAAGACCCAGGACAGACGCTCCTGAGAAACCTCTCGAGGTTGCAGGAATCTCTTGGAAGATTCCAGAAAGTGTTGGCACTGACTGGCCACCACCCCCAAGAAGAACACTATCTGGCTGGAGCATGAAGCTAAGGTGAGCTTCTCAACTCCACAAACACCGAGGAGTCGGGGGGGAGTGGGGGGCCCTGGGACACCCCCCCTGCACCCGCCCAAACACTGACAGACAGGGAGGGCTTTCCTGGCTCTGGGGCACAGTCGCCTGGAGCCACTGAGGGGTCAGGGAAGTAGGAGAGCAGTGGGCTCTTCTCCGGGGCCAGGTCCCCGCAGGGCCCTCCCCAAATCTGCCTGCCTTCTGGCCGCCGACTCAGTCCCACACGTAGGGGTTTCTAAAGACCTGGGAGTTCTTGCCGTCTTTCGGCGATGTGGCTGCCTGGTGGCTCTGGGCTGCATACATGTCTTCGGCCCTCAGGGTGGAATTGGCACTGCCCATCACCTGGCTGTTGGCGGTGGCTCGTGGGAGGATGACGTCGTAAGCTCCTTCAGACTGGAAGGAAGGACAGGAGGTCTCACAGCCAGGTTCCGCCAGGGCGGACGCACAAACACTCTGCTTCCGGCGGGGCCGTGCCTGCCAGCTGCCCCCTCCCTGCTCCCCCCACCGCCTCCCCCAGCAGTGTCCCCACTTCTGGAAGCGGAGGGGCTGGCCTCTGACCTCAAGCCTCACCCTGCAGAGCTCCAGGCCTCTAGACACAGAGGAGGCGCCTGTCACCTCAGACGGTCCTGGGGCTTCACTATTCTCCGAAGGACCCTTTGCTCAAGCCCCCTCCCTCCTGCTCCCAATGCCTTAGGGAAATCCTGGGGCCCAGTGGAGGGTGAACCACATACTGAGTGCAACTGCCTGCCTGGTAACGCTCCCAGGCGCCCCGTCTCCCCAGACTCTTCCCGGAGGCCTCCAAATGGCACTACACCGCCCGGCAGTCTCACAGCTGCTGTCTGCCTGGCCGAGGACGGCCTTCGGTTAGCCCACGGTTCTCATCTTGAAGCCTGGGCCGGCTAGTCAGATGTGGAGACTTAAAACACAAATTCTCGGGGCGCCTGGGAGGCTCAGTCGGTGAAAGCATCTGACTCTGGGTTTCAGCTCAGATCAGGATCTTCAGGATCTCTGGATTCGTGAGTTCAAGGCCCACATCGGGCTCTGCACTGTTGGCACAGAGCCTGCTTGGGATTCTCTCCCTCTCTCTGCACCTCCCACATCTCTCTTTCTTTCTCAAAATAAACTGAAGAACAAAAAAGCAAAACAACAAAAACAAAAAACCACACACACACACACACACACACACCAAATTCTCTGCCCGGAATCTGGCTAGAGCTGTGATGGCCCTATTCCTGTGGGGGGGAGACAACTGTTGGGTGAGAAGGGCCCAGAGGCACCCGGCCCAGCTCTCACCCTGGAGGGAAGGTGAACTCCTTGCCCCACCTGCCTTATCGCTACAGAAAGACCCGCCACGAAACCCCTGCCGCTTCAGGGTCCCAAGCCGCCTTCTGTCTCATCAGACCCGGCTGGTCCTTCCACTCGTTTGCACCCAGGTTCGGGCCCTGGGTGCTCCTCCCACTGGTTTGCAACCCCCAGCTGCCCTAGGGGGACATCTAGCTCCAGGGACATCTAGATGGGTGGTTCTCCAACCTGGGTGTGCAACAGAATCACCTGGGCAGTTTAAGCCACAGCCGACACCTAGTCAGGATCCAACCCAGTGGTGGGCTGGTAAATGTTTACCTGGGGTGAGGAGGGAGGGAACCTTCCACTGATTTCTGTGGGCGGGTACTCCCCATGTGGCAGATTCCAAGTTATCAAGATGATACCACTGAAGAGATGCTAACCACCAGCCCCATCCAGTTTGCATTTATAGCAAGTTCCCCGGTGATGGTAATGCTGGGGGTGGGGGGGGTGGGGGTTGAGGAATCTGGAGACCGTTTTGAGAATCACCACATCAGAGAAAATATCCCTGTCCGTCCAGATCCTACCCCCAACTCAGGGAAGCAGGACTCAGGTGCACAGGTGAGTGAAGGGTGGCAAGGTTGGGGCATCCGCTGAAGGAAGGATCCAGGGGTGGGGGAGAGGGAGGGGTTCCACAGCCTCGGAGGCTGTAACCAGCAGACTCGGTGTCCTTCAGAGACTCCCTGCCCCTCCCAGCGCCCGGCTGCATGTTCAGCTTCGGGAGTAGGAAGGGTCTGGGACTGTAAGTTTCAGATGCTCACTGCACCCTGCCCCCCACCCCAGGGGCTCACGGCAGGGAAGGGGGGCGGGATGAGAACACCACCCCACTGACCTCCCTCGTTTCCGGTTCCCAGCATCCTGCCAAGGCGGGTCACTGACCTCTCCCCACAGTGACTGCCAGCCCGGGAGAAGGAACATATATGGAGTGAGTGAGAATCTAAACCCCTGTCTTCCTGTTCCCACCCCCCACTGGCTAATGGAGCATCTGGTTTCCAGAACCCACTGTTGGGGGGTGGGGGGGTGAGGTTGAGAGCTGCCTCCTCCTGCCTGTGGGGGGAAGGGAGCCTGGGCCCTCTTGGGACAGCTGTGGTTGAGGAGTTAATACTAACCTGGATCTGCTTTGGGGTCCTCTGTGCCTTTGGGGGCACCAAAGAATGACACCTACCTACCTACCTGGCTGAGACCTTCCTCTGTCCTTCCCTAAGCTGCTTAGGGTAAAGCTGGCACCTCCACCAGCTCAAAGAGGGCCTATTCTGCATTCTCCGCAGCAAGGGACCTCAGTCACCGTGCGACGCTCCATGACACGGGGCAGGTCCCACTGCGGTGAAGCTGAGGGCGGTGTATACAACTCCGGAAAAAGGGCATCAGGGGCCCCGCTTGGTTCCCTGAGCCTGATGCATCAGAGGGAGAAGCCAGCCTTCTCCATCCATACCCCACCCCACCCTGCGCTGGCCACACAGCCTCTGCACCTGCCCGCTCAGGCTGGGCTCCATGACCCCAGCAGGGTCACAGAGACCCTGGGACCCCACTCACCGGGCCTTTGTGCATCAGGGCCATCTCGGTGGGCTGGTACACACTGGTCAGCAGCTGCCCGTTGTACCCGCTGTATGGGGACACCGGTCTCTTAGCTGCAAAGAAACACAGGAGCCGTTTGGAGGCTGGACTCTCAGGCAGGGCTCCCCAAGGGGAACACACAGAGGGAAGAGGGGGGTCTCACCTGCCCAGGGATGACATCGAACCCAGGGGGGAAGCCTGGCCGGGGTTGGCCAGCTTGGAGGTAAGGCTGCAGGTGTGGGGGCCCCTCAAGAGCCCAGCATGCCTCTGTCGGGAATCAAGGCAAGCAGGATGTTGCCTGCCTTCCCCTCAGGCTTCCCTGCCGTGTGAGGACCACCCCCTCCCCCCACTTGAGCAAAGAAAACTGCTCCTGTCAGCAACCTCCACATCCCCATCCGCCCTGCGGGGCCAGAGGCCAAGAGGGGCACATGGGCCTTCGTTCGGCCGCCTTCCAAGATGGCCAGGCTCCAGCGCTGGCCTCTATCACTGAAGGCCAGCTGCTAGACACTAGGGTAGGCACAGCAGAGACCCCACAGCCTGAGACTCCTCACGTCGTCACAAAGCAGAACTGGATGCTGACCCTCCAGGACCCCACGGCCCAGAGCCCCACCAGGAGGACTGAGTGTACCTCCTGTCCTGTGGCACGCTGGCAAGTTTCCAGAATGATTTTCAGTTCCAGGAATACCTCCCCGGGCCTCGGCCGGCTGGCATCCTGATCTGTTCTCCCCTGCTGGGGTTCCCAGGGTGTCGGAGGAAAGCTGCTGACCAACCCCTGGGGCCCGAGAGCAGGCTGTGCCTCAAGGAGAGGCGGGCGGCTGTCTGTCTCCTGCAGACTGATGGCCCGCGGCTCTGAGGGACCACAACTATACAAGGCTGGCTTCCTAAGTGCTGGGCCGGCTCCATTGATTTTTCCATTTAGAAAAAAAAAAAAAAAAAAAAAAAAAAGAAAGAAAAAGAAAAACCCTCACAGCCCCAGAAGTGTTTGCCTTGAGAGGACAAAGGCTGAGTACTGCTCGGGCCTCCAGGCCAGGCAGCAGAGGTGAGCAGGGAAGGTCCTGCCCAAGTGTGCACACAAGCCCCGCCCCCCCCACCAGCCTCCCAATTGCCCCCTGCCCCATCCCCCTCCCCCGCAAAGCACTCAATCGGTCCTGCTCGGGTATGTGCACCTGTGCCCGGGGCCACCCCAGTGGGCAGATCAAAGATCAAGTGCCAGGCAGGACAAGGATCACTCCTTTCCCCCAGATCGAGATTATGGGCATCTCAGTTTGTAAAGGCGCAGGGAGTTCTGATTCTAGAGCATTCCCTGCCTCTGGCTCGCACCTCTAGCAGAGACCCCAGAGCTGGTGACTGACAGTCAGGCATTAAAGCCTTAAGCCCCCAAACATCTTAATCAGCCCAGTCTGGGCTTGGGGGTCAGGGCTCTGTACCTCCAGTTCCTGGTCATGTCGGGTGAAGGGGCTGTAGCCAGCTGGCTAAGAAATCACGCGAGACCGCACGCCACAGGACACATCAGGAAAGGCGCGGCTCGTGGCACACAGTAGGTGCTCAGTAAAGGCTAGACCAACAAATGCCAGAGAAATACTCTTCCCTTGGGAAACTAGGAACGCAACTGGCCAAGGGTCCCAGAGAATCATCCCCCACCCCACCCCCACTGCCTGCTTCTCCAGCTACTCCCAGAGGGGGCTTGGCACAGGCTGCAGAAACCTCACCCACCCCTGCCTCTTCCAATTCCAGAACCCCCTCAGCCCGACCCCTCCAAGGCTGTATGGCTGGCCGGCACCCCTAGTGCTGGGGTCCAACAGGACAGCCCCATCCCATTAACAAAGAGCCGTGACAGGAGCCTGGGGACAAGCCAGCTGGATAGCGGGTGCTGCTTAGATTGGTACGTGGCACAGAGCTTTTATTAAAATGAACAGAATCCTGGGGTGCCTGGGTGGTGGCTCAAGCAGTTAAGCGTCCAACTCCTGATTTTGGCGCAGGTCATGATCTCACAATTTGTGAGTTCCAGCCCCGCGTCCGGCTCGATGATGTCAGCTTGGAGTCTGCTTGGGTTTCTCTCTCTTTCTCTCTCAGCCCCTCCCCTGCTGGATATCTCTCTCTTCCTCTCTCTCAAAATAAATAAACATTAAAAAAAAAAAGAAGAGGGGCATCTGGGTGGCTCAGTCAGTTGAGCATCCGACTTCAGTTCAGGTCATGATCTCGCGGTCCGTGAGTTCGAGACCCGCATCAGGCTCTGTGTTGACAGCTCAGAGCCTGGAGCCTGCTTCAGATTCTGTGTCTCCCTCTGTCTCTGCCCCTCCCCTGCTCACGCTCTGTCTCTCTCTCCCTCTCTCAAAAATAAATAAAGATTAAAAAAAAAAGAAGAAGAAAATCTTAGCTGGGAAGACTTTTAACAGAAACCAAGACTATGAATGTATACCTAAGAGAAAAACAAGTCCTGGAAGGGTACTAACAATAGTAAATTAATGGCAATACACACAGCTAATAGCTAATACTTCTAGAGTACTTTCCTAGTGCCGAGCACATGCATGAATTTACTCCTCGCAAGAATCCTATTTAACAGGAACCATTATCAGCCCCATTTTGCAAGTGGGGAAACTGAGGCCTGTGGAGGTACACGATCAGTGGTTATCGTTCTAAAGACGGAACAGGAAAGAATGGAGTAGAACTGGGAAGACAGCTGGGTGGGGGAGGGGAGTTTTATCCGTGGTGTTTGCAATTTTAGAGTGAAAATACATTCATGAACTACAGGAGTACAGGAAAAAAAAAAAAAAAAAAACTTTTCAAATCTGGAATTCAGGGAGTTTCAGGTAGGAAATTACAGATAAACCCGAGAACCTTCCATTCTGCCCAGGAGACCAGCCCCGTGTCCTGCCACAAACAGTGCAGAAGGAAAGACGGGCAGGTGGGGAGGGGATTCCTCCACTTACCTGAGGCTGGCTCGTCCATGGAAAAGGCCTTGTTCTCCACAAACATGCTCTGGCCCTTCTGCTCCTTCAGGATGGTCTCGTAGCCTACGCCCCGGGTCGGGTACATGTCCCCCTGGTAGCTTTGCTCTGGGCTGGCCTTGGTCACCTGGGAGACCTCAGGGATGATGTAGAAGAGGACAAAGGCCCAGGCATTGGCGGCAAGAGCAATGGCCAGCGTGGGATCGTCCCAGGTGGGACTGTTGTGCTGCTTGTTGCCGTAAGTGTACATGACAATCCACACCACCCAGATGGCGATGGAGGTGGCCGTGGTGAGCAGCACGAAAACCCCGTGCTTGCGCCAGCGCTTGAAGCGGCCACACAGGGCTGGCCAGGCCCCCGTGAAGGCGCACAGCAGCAACAGCATGACGTAGATGAGCGCCATGACAAAGTCCATGTTGGCGATGGCACACGGGGAGGCCGTGGTCCAGGCAGCGCTGCCGTTGCCCGGAGGGCCGCCCTCGCCACCGCCCCGGACCAGCGTGATAATCAGCCACTCGGTGTTGATGATGACCTCCACGAGGGTCAGCAGCACGGCCACGGTGAAGATCACCCAGCCCCGGGGCCCATGGTTCTTCCGGGCCAGGAAGTTGAGGGCAAAGACGTGAGCCACCAGGCAGGAGAAGCAGATGGCGAACAGAACTCCAAAGAGGAACCGGCGAGAGGCACAGGTGGAGAAGTCCGGCTTCACCACGCAGGCAAAGACGAGGCCGAAGAGGCCCAGGGTCCCCAGCAGAAAGAATACCTGGGTCCCCAGGAGGCTCCGCTTCTTGGTGTCCTGCACAAAGGGGAGGCTGGCCACAAGGATGATGGTGAGGACAAAAGTGGTAACGACGCCCGCCCCAGCCACTGCCTCCAAGACAATGCCCCAAGCCCCAGAGCGGTCACACAGGTTGTAGTACAGGGGATTGAGGTCCGGGCTGCAGCCGGGAGGCACATGATTCTGGGCCTGGGCCCCTGAGCATAGGAAGAGGGGCAGCCCCAGGCATGTCAGCAAGGCTTTGGGGATGGCCATCCTGGCTCCCAGGCCAGGCTCCAGCTGGGTCCCTAGAGATAGAGCAAGAAAAGGTAAAATCAGTCCTCCAAGGCCGGCCAGATTCGGACACACAGGTCTCTTGCTTTCCCCTCTCCTGAACCAGGGCAGCCAGTGCAAGCTGATGACGAGACTGTCCCCTGAGCTTCAGAATCCTTCTTGACACGGAACTCCCGGGAGGCATATCGACTGACCAGAGAGGCAAGTGAGATGAAGCCCATTTGTCATCTCTGTCCCTCGTCATGGAAAAGGAGGAAAGTGTCACTGAATTTTCAGGTTCCCTGTTCCCTTAGCCTATCCAGCATCCGGATATTCCCTGAGCTCTGGTAGCTGGTGTGAGGGTTTGTGAGCAAGTTCAAAACCAAGCATACCACCCATTTAGCAGTTTGTCTCTGCCCTGAGACTCCCAGAGTTCAACAGGCCCGATGCCGTGCCCCTCAACTCTGCCCCTGTGACGCCCACGTCCGTGGCCAATCTGCCACGCACTCATTCACGCAACGCGTACTTAACGAGCACCCGTGACAGGGTGCAGCCTGCGGCCAGAAAAGATGAAGAAGACAGTTCCCTTGGATTCCTCCCTGTCACCTCCCTTTTCTGCCCTTCATCTGCCCACTTTTCAGGCAAGCTCTCCTCTTCAGAATCCAAACTTCTTTGTCTAGCTCACTTGCTGGAGTCAAGGATAAAATAAACGAATTTCTCAGCTAGGGACTTAATGACTTCATGCAAAAATCCTCCTATGAGGCATTAACATTTTAAAAGCAAGAACCAGACAAGGGCAATGCAAGAACTCATCTATCATGGAAGACTTTAAGGTGCAGTAGCTAGAAGGCAAAAAAGAGATTTTCATTCATACCAGGAAGGTAACTGATTACTCCACGTACTCCGCATCGGACCAGTCCCAACAGCGGCTCTACCAAGTGCTAAGCAGCAAAGAAAATGAAACCCCCGCTCTCAAGAACAGCTGATGTTCCCTGTGTGAAGTGGAGGTCAAGAACGTGGCAGGTTCTTGAGAAATGAAACATCCAATCAGTGAGCTGTCCAAAGAGAGACTTTACATTTACCTGGAGAACAGAGAATCTAAATGTTCTAAAAAGCCAAGTTCAAGGGCCTGGGTGGCTTGGTCAGTTAAGCCTCTGACTCTTGATTTCAGCTCAGGTCATGATCTCGCGGTCCGTGGGATCGAGCCCCGCATCAGACTCCACACTGACACCGCTGAGCCTGCTTGGGATTCTCTCTCTCTCCCTCTCTCTCTCAAAATAAATAAACTTAAAAAAAAAAAAAAGCCAAGTTCAAAAATACTATGAAACGTAGGTACTGCACATCATATCACCCGTTATGTTCAAGTAACTAGTTGTAACCCTGCCTCTTCCTCTCTCACTTCTGGGGTCCTATAGAACCCTCCAGAAAGACAGCAACCAAGCTTTCCTGGGCTGACAATGACTGATGACTGCTAGTGACTCGTGGGGGAATGGCATGATCCACCTCTTCCCACTTCCTTTCTTCCTCCTTTGGGGGTGGTGATACCTACCCCCGTATGTTTTCACCATCCCTGGTTAACCTGACCTCTCTTTTATTTATTTATTTATTTATTTAGAGAGTGGGCGAGCGAGCAGGGAAGGGTCAGAGAGAGCAGGAGAGAGAATATCCAAGCCGGCTGTGCACTGTCAGCAGAGTCCGACGTGGTTCGATCCCATGAACCATGAGACCATGACCCGAGCCAAAACCAAGAGTCAGATGCTTAACCAACTGAGCAGCCAGGTGCCCCCCCCCCACCCTGTTACCCAATTTCTAACAGGTGAACAAAAGTCCTGTATCCCAGTCAGTAGAAACGTCGTCTCTCCATAATTGAGAAGTGGAAGAGTATTGTTACTGGATCAGCGAAAATAGAAACTCATGGATAAAGTGAAATTGACATAATAAAAGCGCATCTATTTTCCAAGTCCTTTAATACATATCCTACAAGCCCCTTGAAAATACCGTCCATATCTCGACCTTCTGAGCTACTTCATTTTTCAGTTAAACTTGCTATTTCCTTCCCCCAGATACCACCTATCGTTAACTCTTCATAAACTAACATCTTTACTGCGTTCCTAAAAAACTGCAGGGTCACAGAGCTCAGTTTCTCTTAACTTGTAACGCAAAAGCACCGTGCCTTCCCCTGCATCGACATTTAAATAAGCTTTTGTAGGAGACTTTGTGTAATCGTAAATCAATAACGCATAAACCATATTTACAAGTGCCGGAAAGAAAGAGCAGAGGATTCATGGGTAAGGAGGAACAGTGAACCACTCCAGGGGATATAATTTGCAGATTACATGCTATGGGTTCCTAAGCATTTAACCCCATCTTGGGCGTTTGGGGCTCACAGCAAAGCAGCCAGAACTTGTGGTAAAGTTGGAGATGTGGAAGTGAGCCCTGAGAAAAGCCACTCCGATTTGGCCCCCAGGTATTTGCACATCTTCAAGCACTTCTCCCCCCTCCAGCACCTTGCGCTGGGTCCCCATTTAGAACAGGTAGGTGATTATTCCAAATCAGAAAATATTTACTGTGCATCTGAGGGGGGAGGGGCCAGGGGAGGGAAGGGGAACAAAGCCCAAGCTCTGGAAACTACGAAGATGAACAAATACAGTCCCTGACTTGATGGTTTTTAAAATCCAGTATGAGAGGGGCGCCTGGGTGGCGCAGTCGGTTAAGCGTCCGACTTCAGCCAGGTCACGATCTCGCGGTCCGGGAGTTCGAGCCCCGCGTCAGGCTCTGGGCTGATGACTCGGAGCCTGGAGCCTGTTTCCGATTCTGTGTCTCCCTCTCTCTCTGCCCCTCCCCCGTTCATGCTCTGTCTCTCTCTGTCCCAAAAATAAATAAAAAACGTTGAAAAAAATTAAAAAAAAAAAATAAAATAAAATAAAATAAAATCCAGTATGAGAGATAAGGTATGAGAAAATATGAGCCATAATAAGGTGTGAGAAAATAAGTGCCCCACAACAGAATTTGCCTCTGGGGAGAAAAAGGTGTGCCACAAGGCACAGAGGAAGCCTTGCACTGAGGGGTCAGAAAAGACAGAATGGAGAAGATCTTTCAACAGTGTTTTATTCAGTATTTAATCAACTTCAAGTATGAACTGAGTTTGTAAAGGGAGACTGCAGGTGGCTAGCGACAGACTAGAACTGCTACAGGGAAGGAGTTTGGGGCATTTTTCTGAAGGCAATGAGGAGCCACGGAAGGTTGTTTTTTTGCACCAAGGAGGCATAACCAGGGCTGGGCTTTACAATTTCAATCCGGCAAAAAGCACAGGCAATCGATTTGTTGAGGACACGTTCACCCCTGTTGAAAGATCAAGGCCAAAGGTAACAAGCCATAATGGACAGGTCTGGGAGATCGTTTCCAAAATAACATCTAAGGACTGGTTGGAGGTGAGGGGAAAGGATACCAATTCGCTACAAGTTCATATCTGATAACAGCCATATCATTACAAAAAAAAACCCCAAGCCCGGTCCCATTTAGCTCTGCAACCCCTCTGTCACTTATTCTTCTGGGTCCATCTTGCTTTTGGAGTACATGCCTTTACCCTGATGGCATCCAGCAGCCTCCTAGCTTCTCAGCACTGCCAGTGTGGGAACTTCCAAAGAAGGAAACAGGAACTTGTTTCCTCTCCTCCTCCCCATCCTGGGGCCAAACTGCCCAGGTGCCCTGAAACTTACCAGCCCCAGATGAAACAAACCATTCCCACCCTGATACAATCCATTTCTCTGATTCCCCTGGAAATTCAAGGGTGAGGGTAGACATAGGAATACAGCAACTCAGGCCTAGGGCAGCGATCCCTGGAAGCCAGCAGATTTAGAGCAGGAAGCTCAAAAGAGTTCAGCACTGGTCCTTTGACCTCCAGGAGTGCAGATTTAGCCAGTCAGCCCATGCCATCTTTTAGATGGTGGAGAAGGGGGAAGGACTTTTTAGAAATGGACCCAGCTTTGCCTAGAGACTCTCCCTCCACCAGGTCCCTGAGCCCTGCACTTCCCGGCTGTCTTCTGAGACTTGATGGTTAAAATTCTGTGTGTATGTCTCCCCTACGAGGCTGGAAGGTTTGGGAGGGCACTGGACAAGACCTGTTTATCTTAGCCTCCTTGCAACACCTGGCGCTGTGCCTTGAACACAGGAGGCATTTAAAAAACATTCGCTGAACAGACTCGGTGCCCATTTCTCCCCTGCCTTCTTCATTCTGGAGTCACATCTCCTTGCTTCAAGATTCTCAGTGGGACCAAGGACGGGAGGGGGAGGGGGACTTCTTTCTGCCCCATGAATTTCTCCTACACCACCGCTGTAGCATAGCCCAGTCTCAGATTATTTTCTGGACAAAGGGGCCCTTTTGCTTCACCTCCCTGGAATCAGTCATACAAATATTTTTAATCACCTCTGAAATCGGCCTTTCCCCAGCTGAGCTACTCAGCCCCCAGCTCTGGTCTGAGTCAGCCCAATCCAGTTCCAGAATCCCCTTCCTCCCTCTTTCCCTCTCCAGGGGGAAGCAGAGAGGCCTCCAAGGCACCGGTGGGTTCAGAGGCCCAGCTGGCCCTGACTGGCTTGATCAGAGGCGGTCAGGCCCTCTCACCTTTCTGGAACAGCCCCTTCCTCACCCCCTACCATTCACATCAGAATCTGAGAACCCGTAGGGCCTGGGAGACCATCCTGAAGAGGGCACCATGGGCTTCTCACTGCCCCGGTCTGAATCTCCTAGGCTCAAGGATACAGAGTAAGATAAAGACACACAGCCAGTGGTTACATTTAAGGATGCCATGACCTTTGATAGCCCCCTCAAAGGCACCTAAGCTCACCCAGGGATACTACAGAACATCCTCCTAACTCCCCCTCCCCGTCTGCCAGCACTGAGAAGACCAGCAGGAGAAACGCTAGGACCTACCTACAGTGCTCCCACCTCCTTCCCTTCTCCCCACTCCCCTCCCCCCTTTCTGGAGTCCAGTACTTAGGTACTTAGGCCATATCATCTTACTCAGGTCCAGGGGTCTCCAGGTTGGGGAGGGAGGTTGCTTCTGGGAATCTCATCCTTGACTCCCCATCAAGTGGGCTTTTGGGACAAAATTTCCTGAGTATTCTGAAACGTGGAAGTCTTCAATCCAAGGGTCTGCTCTGGAATGCCACTCTGGAATGTGCCCTACTTCCCAACATTCCCCCCCCCCCCAAACATAGAAAGACACAAGGTGGGGACCTCCAGAAGCACAAAACCCTATTGTGACACATTCTGGTCCCTGTGCTTTAGGATCAAGATCGCGACCTTTGAGATGACTGGCTTCTCCGGGGTGTAGAACTGTTGGCGGGTGGATGGAGGGGCGCTACCCAACCCCTGCGGCTGCAAAAGGCCCTGGAAAAGCCATGGGGGTGGGGAGTGGAGCGGGGATCTAGAAGCCAAGCTGACAGTAGAGGCTCTTTGATGGTCTGATTGCAAACTTCCTACAGGAAGATTCGGAGAATTTCCCTCCCCGCTTCCTGGGGTCTACACCGGCGCTCCCCCGGCCTTCGGAACAGAATGAGCAGGGACCCAGCCTCTCTCACCGACTCCCTCTGGCCACAGAAACCTGCCCTCCCCATCCACGGGCACCGGAGAGGGCGCCGGCCCATAAGTCACTGCTGACGGTGGACTCACGCAGAGAGGCGGCCGGAGTGGAGGGGGCACCGATTGTGGGGTTCGGGACAGCGCCGGGCTTTCCCCCCACCCCCGTCCCCCAGCCGGCTCCGGTTTGGAAAGTTTCTGCGACCGAGCGGAGTTGGCGCTGTCCTCCGCCCCCGGTCCTCCGCCCTCGGGCTTCTGCCCGCACCCACCGCCAGCCAGCCCGACCCAGGCGGCGGAGGGGAGGGCGGAGCGGGAAGGCAGGAGTCCTTACCTGGGACGCACCGCCCGCCCGACTCTGCCACCTCCGGCGCCAAGCCGGGCGCGGGCGGGGGGAGAGGGACTCGGCGTGGGGCGCGGAGCCAGGCGCAGTCCTGGCCTGGGGTGGCGGGGCCCGGGCGGGGGGCTCGGGGCTCGGGGCGCAGGGCCTGCCTCTCCCCGGGACCTGGGCTGAGCTGGCCGCGCTCGGTGTCTCCTTCTAGCGCTGGCCTCTCCCCGCACTCGGCTCCTTTCTCCGGGCGAGGGTGGGCTGGCGCCGGCATCACCGTGACATCACCTCCATTCAAGCGCTTATCGGGCGGCCGCAGCGCTCCAGGTACGTGCAATCCGTTTGCACAGCAACAAAGCCCGTCCGGCCCTCCCCCAGCCGACTCACCTCCAGGCTCCGGCGAGGCGCACTTTCCGGCCGAGGAGGGAGCACCGAGTTTCTGGCGGAGCTGGAATGAGTGTTGTTGCTGTTTACTGCCACGCCCCCGCCCGCGGGCGCGCGCACTCACGCGCACTCACTTTCCGGGCTCGGCTCTCCCTCCGGAAAGCGGTTTGGGGGGCAGCCCAGCACACCTCGCAGGCGGGCTCTCCCGCCCCGCATGTCCCAGCGCGCACACACGGCCAGGCGCGGGGGCCACCTCGGTGCGTCTCACCTAGCCTCCGTCACCTTCGTCCTGGCTCGCCCGAGAGGCACACGCGCCGGGCACAGCGCGCTGCTCGCGGCTGGAGCGAGGCGCACACTCAGACACAAAGTCCGTCTTTGTCACGCCTTCTGCGCCCCCTCCCCTCCCCGAGCTTGAACACGTGGACACACCACACACCCACTGTCCGCCTCCTCCACGCGTGGCCCTTCCCCGGCCCCGGGGTCACCAAATGTGCGTGGGAGGGCCAACCGCGAGCGTCCCTGCTGCGTGGGCCGGGCCCAGGTCCACTCGGGACAGTGAGCAAACGTCGCCCTGGGCCCGACTCCCCTGCGCCTGGATTTCCTGCGATCGCCCCAGACTCAGTCCAACTCTGAGTGCGCGCTCCCCTCCCCGCGTCCCCGTTCCCTGTTCCGACTTGTCCTAATTAGCCTTCACGGTCGTGTTCCCCGAGGTACAGTGTTTAACCCGGCCCCCGCGGTCCCTGCGCTCCGGGACACATCGGCCCTGACTCCGAGTCCACCCCTCGGGACTTTTCCACGAGTTCAAATACCCTCCGCCCCTCTCCGCGCCCCACCCCCCACTCCCTGCCTCGGGGTGGATCGGCGGGTTGCCACCCTTTCCCCTCCGGCCCCAGGAATCAGCAGAAAGGGAACTGCAGAAATGGGGAAGCGAAGCCAGTCTGGGACGTCCCTGGCCCAGTAAACAAGAGGAGATTTTCCGGCCGCCTTCCCCTGGGGCTGCGGGCTCCGCGGGCGCCCAGAGGGGCCTAGTTAGCCGGCATGGAAGGCCCGGAGGGGCCGCGGCGCACCGGGAAGGGAGAGGTTGTTGGGCCTGGCTAGGGCCCAGGGGACGCGGAGGGAGGGCAGGGCGCCGGGTCTCCGGGGTGCTGTTCTCGTGACGCCGAGTTGCCTGGGGGATCGCCAGCAGCGCGCGGTCGGAGCCAGCCGGTGGCGGGGCGGGCGGCAGGGTGTGTTTGCACAGCCTGGAGCGCCCGGGAGGAGGGGTAGCGGGGGGGAGGGGAGGCAGCGGGTGTCCGGCGGTGGCCAGGTGGGGGGTTAGGACGCGGGGAAAGGTGAGGGGGTACCTCTGGGGCTGTTTGGGTGCCTCAATCTACGACCAGCAGGAGTCAAACTCCATGAATCACCGGGAGCTGCCCGAGCGATAAACCTCAGGCCTGCCCCTCCCCTCGCGCACCGGCTTTTCCGACTCCAGGAGGGAATGTTTGCTTAGCGGCCGGGGCTGGCGGTGGGGCCCTGGTTTTCTAGAACCTGCCTCCGTCCCTGTGCCTTGCCCTCGCTTGCAGGTCTGGGGAGTGTGGTGATCACTGAATTGTTTCCGTTCCTTTTAAATATTAAGAGGAAGAGCGCGTTCGGCTGCACAGTTGTACACTACTCCGTGTCTCCCTCCCGTGACTCCACCCCTGCCCCACGTCTCCCCGACCCTCCAGTGTCTGAGGACGAGCCCAGAGTGACCCAGCAAGTTCTTCTGGCCTCTGACCAGTAGCTTTCATTAACAGGACAGCTAATGCCCAAATCAGTTTGCTGGGAGGGTTGCTCATTAGCATATGTGAAAAGCCAATTCTGAGCGCGAGTCGGGGGGCGGGGCTGGGGAAATGGGCTGGAAGCCGGTGAGCTGTGGATCCAACCCAACATCTCAGTTTGCTTTCAAGCTTCTGGAACTCCTTCCGGGACGGAGGCTTCTCCCAAGAGGCAAGTCTACCCCCACCTCATTCCCTGCCCAGGCAGGGGTAAGGTTGGGGTATGGGGTGCCTGGCCACCCGATGGGAGTTTGGGAAGAGGCCTGCCAGCCTTGAGCAGTGGATAGTCGTGGAAATGTATCGCAGTTTTCTGAGAGCGGTTTGCTGGGTCCCTTTTCACCCCATCTCACTCTGGAACAGGATCTGCCTTCAAAACAAGGCAAGGCCCTGGCCCTTTCAGCCTCTAGGATCCCTGGGGCCCTCGGCTTGAGTCCCTTGAGCAGGGCCTAGCTGGATGTGGGGTGGCTAGATGGGAGGTCCAGATCTTGAGTACCGCCCCCACCGCCGTCACTGCCCACCCCGTGAGTCACGTGGTCGGGGGTGGGTGCTTCTGGACAGGACCAGCCAGCATTGGCTAGAAGGGAAGTTTTGCTTTCCAAGACTCCAGGTACAGGGTCCTCTGCACCCCACCCCCCATATGCCCTTCACCCAGTTTAATGACCCACAGGCATCTAAGCCTTTATGAACTCCCGGTGTTCACCAAAAAATAACACTTTGGGAAGCCATCCCTGGTGGATACTGCCCACCCGCTGTTCAAAGAGATCCGGGATTGATGGATTGTGGGGGAGTGTCTAGCTCCCCGCCTCCCCTAATACAGTGCTTGAGTTCCTGCTGGGCCATCAGAACCACTTTTATCCATGGCGGCAATTGTCTGAGGGACTGACAAGGCCCGGGGGTCAGAAGCAGCTTTGCCACCTGCCAGCTGTGTGACCTGGGCAAGTCACCATATCTCCCTGGCACCCTGCCTGCACTTTCCTCTCCATGGGCATGATAACCCCTCCCCCACATCTCGCTGTAACATCCAGATGAAGCCCAATCTAGAATGTTCCTCGCACAGCCTGCCTCTCACAGGTGTCCAGAGGTCAGCCTCTCCTTTCCTGATGCACCCCCTCTGAACCTTAGTCCTGTCCGCTAAGAGGGCCCAAACTCTTCTAGAAGCTGCATCTCTGACCTTTCAATTCTGTTTTACGGTTATCAGAATAACCTTATGCTCTGGGCCTTCACCTCTGCTTTTCCTTCTTCCTCCAACATCCTGTCCTTCCTGTGACCAAAATTTTTACAAAATCAACCCTGCCTCAAAGCTCAGCTCCAGGCTCCCTCTGTGAAGCTTTCTTCACCTTCCCCAGAAAGAACCTTGGGCCTTGCCCCTTTACGCACAGCCCATCATGCATCGTTGATGTATCATGACCCTAGTGTACCTTCATCAAGCTTGTTAACCGTTGTCCACCCGCCCCCTCCTCACCCCCCCCCCCACTAGACTGTGCCTTTCACAAGAGGGAGGCATGTCTCACTCATCTTGGGTCCCCAGGGTCTGGCCCAGAGTCTGTCACGTGGTGGTGGCTCCATTGTTTTAAGGTCAGGACAGTAGCAGCAAGAGTTGAGACGCAGCCCCTGGAGGGTGGTTCCCTGCAGACCTTCCCCTCACAGCAGGGGCCTTGCAAACAGTGTGCACCTTCCCTGCCCAGAGCCGGAGGCCTTGGGAAGCAGGCAAGCCCCAGTGCCTTCTGGAAAAGTCCGTCTCCCCCCCACCCCCGCCCCGGGGCCAGCAATGCCCTACATTCCATGTCCTGGCTCGGGGCACCGGGTGGTCAGGGGAGGCTAGAGGTCAGCTGTGCTTCCTAGAGAGACCCGCTTGCACGGGTAGCACAAGTCCTGGATGCAGCTTCAGCTGGCGGAATCATTTTCGGCGGTCATTTCCTCCTCCCCGTCCCTGGGGGTTGAGTGCCCTTGGTCTCGTGGCCTGGCCCCAGTGAAGCGAGAACAGTTTCTCACTGAGCTGGGGGTGGGGTTCTTGGATCCCTGACAGGTAGGGACCTGGATTCTTGTGCCAGGCGGCTGGGTGCCCCACAGCTGGCTGATAAACAGATTGTGCGTTTGACTTCTCCTTGCTCCCAGGCTCCATATTAACTGGTTCCTGCCCAGGCTACTCTGTCTGGCCAAGTCTCCTTTTCTCTTAGGCTTATAGGAACGGTGCTTGAAATAGTAGGTGCCCCCTGGGTTTTTTTGTTTGTTTGTTTGTTTGTTTGTTTGTTTGTTTTTAAGGACCCAGGTACCAAGGTAGCACCTTAAGAAGTAGGAAGCCAGGGTCCTGGGAGCAGGCAAGTTAAACACTAATTCACCACAACTGGCTGCCCGTGGATGATCCCTCTGGAATTGTACCCGGAAGTGGGCTTTGGGCAGAGCCTGCTGGAATGTCACCTGACGCCAGGCCCATCCACATTGGCCACAAATCTGCTTCTGCCAACCGCCACCCCC